AAAAAAAAAATAAAAAAAAAAAGGCAATGGATTATTTGAAAAAAAAGTAAACAGAACATCTAGAAATGAAACACAACCAATATAAAACTCAACAAATGGGTTTAAACACAAATTAATCATAGCTAAAGTAAGAAGTTGTTAATTGGAAGATCAGAAGAAATTACCCACATCTCAACCAGATACACAAAAAGATGGAAAATGTAGAAGAGAAACCAAGAGATGTGGAAGGCACAGTGCAAATGCTAGGCTAAGCAATATACAAATATAATCAGAGTTCCAGAAGGAGATGAGAGAGAAGCTAGGGGACAGCAAATATTTGAAGAGATAATGGCTAGGAATTTTCCAGCATTGATGAAAAACTCCAATGTACCAATTCAAGAAGTCCAACAAATCCCAGTAAGTTATAAAGAAACACCACCTGGATATATCACAGTATAACTACAGAACGCCAAGAACAAAGAGACGGTCTTTCAAAGTAGCAAAAAAGAAATGGAATGAGTGCAGCTAGCTGGCAGAGGAGCTCTCACATGCTCTGGTTAGGAAGGTGAATGCCTTAACAGACTGTGCCAATCTGCACCCATCAGTCAAATACGTTAGGATGGGGCTGTTTATATAAATATGACTGTTTTGACAAATGTGTAAGTTATGTTCACTGGCAGAGATCCAGCTCTGTCACAAATATTTAAATACTCAAAGGATTTTCTTCTTCCTAAGAAAAGAAAGCAGAACTGAAAGACGTGTTGCCCAAAATGACGGAGGGATTTTATTTCACTCCCACTAGTACTACCTGACTGCAGATAAAAGGCCACTTCAACCTGCCCATTCCCTAATGATGATTTGAGAGTGGAAGTTTGGGCCATACTTCCCATGTATATCTTGGTGTTTCAATCACTGTCCTCTCAAATGACTGGCATGCAAAACTCCTCTTTTCCTAAAGATGAAGAGAGCTTGCACTTTGGAATAACAAAGACTGGTGGAATCAATTAGGCAAAATACCTAACCTCCAAAGGCAAAGTTTCCTCAACTACAAAATAAAGATAATAGTGCTCACCTACGTTTAATCATTCAATATGCATTATTAAGAATATTTTAACTGTAAGGCAATGGAGACATAAAGATATATGTATATACAAATATAAACACACATACAGACTTTAGGAGAAACAAAGCAGGGTACTGAAAATCAGATCCTTACATTCCAGGCAGAAGGGTCAGCCTGCTCTGGTGAATATGAGCAGACCATGAAGAAAGACCTGAAGATACTGACATGAGAAGTTACCCAGCTAAATGATCCAGCTAGATCATCACACTGAGCATGTCAGTGTGACAAGCCCTGTCCACAACCTCAGAGATTCCAATCACCGTGCTAGCTTCCTCTCTTAAACCTGAGCAGACAAGCAAGCATGATACTCTGAAGAAAGTCTCTAATATGAAACACATAGACAAAACCAAAGAGAAACAAATCAACATGGAGGGAAAAGATAGCATGCAAGGAGAGATTTTTTTAAACGACCAAGTGATATTTTCAAAGGTAAGAGAAGATACTTCAAACAAGATAAAAACCAAGGCGATTACATACGTGTATGCATATTTGTTGTATATACATACACATACATCTATTTCTTTATGGAAGAAACATCTAGAAAACAAGAAATCTCACAGGTTAGAAGATAAAGGTAAGGGAATCTCCTAAAGAGCAAAAGGAGCAAAATATGGAAAACGAAGGCCAAGAAAACAGAGGACCAGACTAGAAAGTCCAATATAGGAATGACAGAAATTCTCAAAAGACAGAACAGAGAAAATGGGGAGGGGAGATCAATGGAACAACTCAAGTAAACGGGCAGAGTTTCCACATTGACAAAACTCAGGAAGTCCGTGCCATGCACCATGAAGTAAGCCCAGACCAGGGCACATTGTTAGGAAGCTGAAAAACACCAGGGACAAACTGACGATCCTATACGTTTCCGGAGACTGAAAACAGGTCAGAATCCAGAATGAGAATGCCTTTCTACTTCTTAAGAAGCACTGGAAGCTAGAAAGCAATAGATAATCCTTCCAAATTCTGAAGGGAAATAATTTCTAATCTCTACCAAAACCGTCATGAAAAGGTGAGAGTAAAATTAAAGAACAACTGAAGGAGTGCAAGACCGCAGATATTGTACCTCCCGCTCAGCCTTTCTAGGGAGCTGCTCCTGGAGATGCTGCACCAACGTGAGAGAGGACAGGAGAGTGAGTCCAAGAGGCGGACACAGGACTCCGGAAACAGAGGACAAAGAACGGACTGTCAGGGTAACAATGACACGAACTTCTGGGATGAGGGTTCTTCGGAGGCTCTGAGGGATAATTCAGCACAAAGAGACAACGAAGAGACAGATGAATGTGAACAACCTCTAAGAAGACGTAGGTGACTGGTGAGCAGACTGGGGTTGAATCAGTGTGACATTCAGACAAAAACAAGGAACAAAGTTACATAATTATTTGCTCCAGGAAAAACAGGAAGTTGCATGGGCAAGAACTCTATGGCTTAACTGTTAAATGCATTTGACAGTCATCATAATATAAGTATTAAATATTCAGCGAACCAAAATCATGATAGAAGTCTACTGTGGGGAGAAAAGGAGGTAAAAGGTATAAATGTGAGCTGGGGATCGGAAGAGGAGAGAGCTGAATTTCTCTTCTTCAATGGGACATCACTACATAAGGCCTAAAAATGAAGAATCGAGAAATATCATTATGAGCATGTTATTTAGACAAATATTCAGCTACAAAAGATGTAACTGGCGGCCTCTGGGAAAAGGCAAATAGGCGTTTGGCAGGGGTATGGGAACTGGCGTTTCTGGTAACACCCACAAGAACTTGCGGAGTCGTCCCCACCCTGACAACACACTGCAATTGTACTGACACCTGAGACCTGCCGCAGGCAAGCGATGCAGAATCACAGGCGCTGGGGCCCAGGTACTAATGGTTTTGAGAAGGATTCGAATGTTTCTGATACACAGAAAGAGTTGAGAACAACAGTTTTAAACTCTATGGAGGAGCTTAATTCTCATAAAAATAAAAAAAGTAATATTTAAATGAAGAAGTATACATGAAATGTTTATATTTATATGAAGAGACATTAGCAAACATGTTCACGGAACATTCATATACATGAAACATACACAGTAAAGTTGATCCATTACATCAGTCACACAGTTCTTTTTCACTAGAAATATGTTAGATGGTAATTTAAGACTTTTCACACATGCTTTGTGGGAAAAGTAAATATCAGACACTTTCATATGTTAACACAGACAACTTCATACTTGATTTAGAGGCACCGAATAGCACTAATTTTTAAAAAGACCAAATTGGTCTTTGCCATGCTCTGACTTGCCTAATGCATGTGAAGATAAGTATGTTCTGGACAATTTAATTTTTTAAAGGAGTGATACTGCATGTGCCATCAAGAGCAAACAAATGAACAAGAAAAGCTTTCTATTAGTCCACTGTCATCCTGGGCTTCAGAATATTGAAATCCCGAATTAAATCATGATATATAATTAGGGAGATACACTTCCAACTATGCACAGTGGTGTTTTTAAAAATCAGCATTCAATACCCATTCTGTATCCAAACAGCACTTTGAAATAGCAGACATATACATGAATGATATTCCTGAGATTATAAAAGGGGGTATCAAATATTATCCAATCAAATTGAGGGAAATTAATAGATTGCTAAAATACTCTAAATGATTGCCAGATCATATTCAGTAAGACACTGGACCTGGTACATCAACATATATCACATCATTAAATTGTAGCAAATGATTCCTTGTCATTAACAAGGTCATAGAATGCTTCCTGGACTCCTCTGGTTTTATAGATTTAAATGAGGTAGCGAAGAAGCTTTTTCTTTCCTTCAGCAGCTTCCCACACCCCTCAAAAAGATTAAAAGCAACAACACACACGATTCAATAAAGTAGACAGCTAATTTTCCTAAATATCGGAAGTTGTGAAACTTGACAAAATGGGTAGCAGGATATAGCCTGAAAAATGTAGGGTGGATTGGATACTCTTGACATTCAGACACTAACTCTAAAAGGTGAAAGTAAACATAAAAATGAGATGGGAAACACATGCTTGGGGTCATCTCTTGGCTATAGCAGACATTTATTTCCCTTATTCTCCTCAAATAAATCTTCTAATATTTGCTTCTCTAATTATACGAACACCCACAATGGAAAGAGTTTTAATTGGCAGATCTGTGTTCCTAGCCTATTTTTGAATATATTGTTGATTAATGAAATATTCCAACCACATACAAAGGACTCCGAAGATTCTGTTTTCATTTTCCTATAAATTACTGTAGTTTGAATTCTAATATCCAACTTTAAAGTGTTTCACTATGGGCATTCTTTGTAGTCACTGAAACCCACCGCTTTAAGAGCAAAATATAAAACCAAAGGCTTTTCACTTTAGATCCCTGTTACTTACTTTAGCATTCAGGCCATCTTTTTTTATTTACTGTCACGAATTAAAAAACAAAATTAAGTGCATCTAAAACAACTTTTGTGGATATTCAGACTGTGACTATGTAGATGGGATAGAAATTTCATTTAAACTATAGCAGCTCAGTGTGGGAAACGGGAAAGTTTGCAAACCAGAAAATAAAATTTTCCTATATACTTTTACTCCTATGAAAGAAAATTACTCTGGGTTATATAACAAAAATAAACCTCCCACCAGAGACCTTGGAAATCTTGAATTTTTTTCCTGCAGGAGGATTTATTATTTTCCACTGAGTGTCCATTCATGCGTTTTCTTCTTGTTTCTATTCATAGCACCAGATCCTGACTAGCATGCACAACCTCAAAAGAAAAGAAAGACTAAATACAAACTGCTAAAATTTAAAAAAAAAAAAGAAATAAAGCAAAATGAAAAGGCGCATGTGAAGACTGGTTACCTTGGGCTGGCGCCATGATGTCTAACTTGCACAGTGGCGCTGGCAGAACTCACCTTGTACGCAACACTGTTGGATGAATCCACGATGATAAACAGAGGCTTCCTCGTGAAAGGATAGAGGTCTCCAGGATGAAGGCTGGGAAAACAACAACGGTAATGATGAGTAACTGTACAACTAAACTGGCTGAGTCTCAGAAGCCTTACTGTTCAGTTTGGTCTGCTCACGTCTCCTTTTCATTACGGCACTGAGCAAAAGACAAAGATTTACTCAGCAAAAGACAAAACACATCTCTTTACTGGGATAGACAGGTTAGCAGTTTTATCCGGAAAAATGTTCAGAGACAATTATTATTCAGGAATATTCAAGCTAAAGAGAAGTCTACAGATATACAGATGGAGAAAACACACAACAGGAAAATCCCACAAGTCAGCATTTAGGTGCTTGCTTAGTATTTAAAAGCTCCTTCTAAGAAAATGTTCTGAAAACAAGATGTAATAACACAACCAGATTTGTATTTCAATGAGTCTTTTAAGATATGTATCTATTTTAGAGATTTTTAATATTTCAAGCCACACCTTAATATTGCAGATAATAGGCAGAGGCTCCCCTTTTACTATTCTTTATGCTTCCTCTGTACTTTGCATAGAATCAGATGGGGCGCTTGTTAAATATATGGATTCACTGGCCCACAGAAGACCTACAGCACCCAAAGGCTGAAGTCCAGCAACATGCGTTTGGGAGCCAGTGCTTAAGGAAAGGTCACAATTTTGTGCATGCTCTCTTTTCCATAGCTTACTGGACAATGTGTGTATGTGTAAAAATATTAATGTAAATGTAAACATAAATACATAAATATATAAAATGATGTGTCAATGAGCAACATCATCAAACCCCAATATGTTTTAAATACAAATTTTTCTTTTCTTTTTTAATAATACAGGTTTTTTTTTTTTTTTTTTAAGTTTATCTACTTTGAGAGAGAGGGAAAGAGAGAATCCCAAGCAGGCTCTTCACTGTCACTGTACAGCCTGATGCAGGGCTCGAACTCATGAACTGTGAGATCATGACTTGAGCTGAAATCTAGAGTTAGACACTTAACTGATGAAGTCACCCCAGGTACCCCAAACATAAGTTTTTCTAATATAAATCATCTACAACTAAGGTCAATGACAGCACCAACATATGGCTTGGAGGACTGTTAGCTATTATACACATAATTTGAAACATCTCCCTTTCTGTCTTCCCTTCCTCATTCTTGAATATGAACAGTTACAACATTTTTTATAAAATACTATTAGAAATGCAGTTTCAGAAAAGTCCAGTCTCCTTTATAACCAGATTGCTTTCTCTCAGCTAGAGGAATTTTAGAGCCAATAATGGCCCAAGCAGTGAATGTGTTGTACTTAGAAAAAGAGCGAACATTCATAGATGAAATTTATTTAAAATCATACAACTAAGTTGATTTATACTCTATCTAAACAACAGAAACTTACATTTAAAAAGCTTGTATTAATGTTAACATGTATCATGTCCTGACATATTATTTACACACACATGTACAGCCTCCTCCAACTTGAATGTTAATTTTGTTCACTGACATATCCCCATGATTGAATAGTACCTCACATATAATATTCAATGAGAATTTTAAAAATAAATTAACAGCCAAAAATTCTAATTTCCTAGGATAGTCAGAGCCTGAAATATTGCTGGAATCCAAATATGTATTATTATATTCTGAGGGAATATTTCTTGTACAAGAAAAAAGTCCCCATTTCACTTAATGTTTTCTACGACTATAATTTTTATAATAGGGAGAGACACCAGAATACATACCAGTGCATTTCCTTGTGGGACTGATTTCGTTTGTGGATGGCATCTCCATTTATAATATCCCGGTTACTATTAGTAAGTACTCCGCCAAAATCATAAGGACCTATAAAAACAAAGGAAGAATCCTAGACTTTAGCTGGAGAATAACATTGATCTGATGCTCAAATTCAAAGGTCTTGTGTGAATCTCTCATTGATACAAGTGGAAGATAATCACAAAGCATTTTAATTATTTTAAAATTTAACATCCTAGTTCAATGCAATATTTAAATGATTTCAGCGTGTTGCCTGCTTCAACATTTTAAAAAAATCATTTAGTTATTCGTCAGTTCTTCAAACAGAAAATAATGAGAAACAAAACAAGAATCTACTGCATCCCAGTATTCTGGGTAGTAAAAGGGATGGAGATCTGGGATGTTCAAAATGATCTTTACATTTCAAGCAAAATTAAAATCTCACATTTAACCAAATTATCTAAATAAGAAAGTTGCAGAATGAAGTCCTAATAATTTCTTAAATATAGTTTTAAGTGAGCCACTAATTATAAAAATTGAGGGGAAAAATTTTGAGTGGGACTTGAAAATTCTCGTTGATAAACACTACATTTTTAAGAAAAGGAATGCCAAATCTCAGTGTGTCAAAAAATCTCTTATTATCACTATTACATCAGGCACTGTACTTCCGGTTTTAAAGTTAGCCTTTCCTACTGATCACATTGGTTAGCTAAACTCTTGTCTAAATGGAACAGCTATGGGATGTTAGGAATCATCTCTCTCAAAGGACCATTCAGTTAGTACCTATTGTACTTTAAAAAAGGAAAAGAGGAGGTCAATGTAAAATGGGAGCCCAGAAAATCTGAGTCAACAGTTTATGTTATAAAACATGGAAAAAGGGGCACCAGGGTGGCTCAGTCAGTTAAGTGTCCGACTCCAGGTTTCAGCTCAAGTCATGATCTCACATTGAGTTTGAGTCCCACATCAGGCTCTGTGCTGACAGAGCAGAGCCTGCCTGCGATTCTCTCTTCCCCTCTCTCTGCCCCTCCCCTGGCTTGCTCACTCTCATTCTCTCAAAATAAATTTAAAAATTTCCATTAATTAAAAAATTTTCATTTATTTCAAAATAAAATTACTAGGTTTATGACAAAAAACTTCAAAAGTTTGTTTGTGACTGTGTGTCACTTTTAATGCTGTGTTATATTTTAGCCCTTAAAAATCATTGCAATGAAAAGACACTGAGATTTGTTTTGTTTTGTTTTCATTTTAACACTTTAAGAGGACCTGTACATCATGCAAGGAAGATGGCAGGGACATGCATTGTATAAAGGAATGCAAATTTCAACAAACAGATGAAGAGGAAAATGTTAAGGATGTTAAGAAAAAATTTTTTTTTGTCCAGACAAAGATTTAATTGCCTAATTTACATTCAAGTTACTCATCTATTCTGACCAATTTCATATATTCTGGACTCATATATTCTGAATAGTTTAAAAAGTTTTCATTCTGAAACAGCATCCCAATATTCTTCAGGTTGAATCCATAAAGCAAAATAAAGGACAGAAACAAAATCATGACAAGGACTTGAACTTTCACAGTTACAGCAATGTACTGATTTCTACAAAGACTTTCAGCCACAATGAAGCCGCTGACCAGATTCCCTGACACATTAACAGCCCAGAAAAACTCAATGATGTGAAGTAGAAAATTAGGCTCAGTTATTCCATGTGTATATAGATATATTTGCGCCTTTGGCAAATTTGATAGTGAGGTATACATTTAGTAAGTGAATTTGCTGATGATTCGCGGACTTCGAAGTATAAGATTTCAGCAAATAAAATAGACTGGGGTATCTACAAGATTGCCAATTCAACAGAGACCAGGCTTCAAATCTGGAAGCCTCTCTGGAAAGCTTGGGATGGTCTGTGGGCTACGGGCCATCATCTTGTAGAAAATAAAGAGAATTCAAGCCCTGCTCACGACAGGGAGCATTCCTTTATTGTACCTTCACTATCAGAACGACCTGTGGGGAAAACGCCAGTGGCTGACAGGTAAATCAGAAGTACGCTATTGGCAGGCAGCTCCTGAAATTAAAGAAAATCACATATACAAAACAACAAACAGTTTTATTCAAAGTTCCTGACATTTTGAAGTCGCAGGGACGACAGAAGCTAATGTAAGGTTTCGCTTTCTTCTCCAAGAAGACTGTCCCTCTTGCTGGTTCCAGCTCAACTGTTTATACAACAAAGAATCATTATGAATCTATAATCTATAAACTGCTGCCCAAAGTTTTGAAGCCATTTTCTGCCTTAAAAACCTCATCACTTACAGAATGTTCTCTGCAAACCCTGAAATGGTGAAGTAAAGTCCTGACTATAGTTCTACAAGAGAAACTCCTGCCCATGGCTTCCTCTCCATAAACTTTGGGAGGAATTCACTGCTTCTCATGGTTCTTCCAGATGACCACAGGGCTTCCTGGAGCTGCCTGAATACATAACACGCCCATGCAATCTGACTGCTATGTCTACAGTACATTAGTAATAACAACGTGGAGAAAGAAGAATGATAATTAATCAATGCTCTCCTTAATTAATGGTAAGGACATTCATAACAACATAAGCAATTTCCATTCCCAAAATAGCTGTGATTAGGTGTACTGAATGCAGATTTCATTTTCCTATATTATCTAATTTCTTCACTCAAATATTCAAATAAAAGAGTGATTCTCAGATTCTATTTAGGGCATACTTTCTCCATATAATAAAAAGTATTGAATCATATATACCTTAAAAGATGCTGCTAAGAATGTGTATAGTTGGCTGAAGGTTGGTTTGTAGAGCAGATACTTGTGGGGGTTTTCACGCCTGGTAGGCTTATCAGCTGATTCCTGTATTTACACATAGAAAACAAGACACATATAGGCTGATTTTGACATATGATTATCAATGCCTATTTTTATACTGTTCATGAAATATCTTTTTTCATTCCATGTTATTATTATTGTGCTTATCTCTCCTGTGTCTCATCAAGAGAATTCTTCATTCACATGCATAGCATTTGTTGAATAACAGCATTCCTTGAGAAGCAGAAGTAATAATGGTGTTACCAAAATTGCAAATGTAGAGCTGTCACCTGCATTCCTGGTTTATTCATCTGGGAAGCTAAATTCATTGGCTCCCTTTCCAGGGCTTGTAACATCCGGAACATGTCGACAGTCAGCTCACTAAACTTAACCTGCAAGGAAAACAAACCTTACCATTAATACAGTATACAGACCTAGAAGTCTCTGACCATAATATGACTCCTGACATTCACGTATACCTAATGACACTGGGTAATTTATTCCCCAGGGTTTTATTATAAAAATTTTCAAAAGACCGAAAACTAAAAGAAGTATACATTGTATCATTTGATTCTATACCATTAACATTTTCTGTATTTGCTTTATCATGTATCTCTCCATCTGTTTTATATCTCTATCCGTCAATTTCCTTGGGTATTTTTAAAAACATAAAAAGCAGTCATGTAAACAACAAGATCTGTATTAGGGTCCTTAAAAAAACATGCTAAAAAACAAAAACTTTTGGCAAGGCAGGCTGCTGAAATAGGGCTATGGCCCATATTTCATAACCTCTTCAGTACATTTTGGCCTTATACAATGTTTAAGACCACATCCTTTTCTGTTTTGAATAATATATAGAACTTCAGGCAGGCAATGGGTTTTTTTTATTGTTATTATGTTTTAATCATGATAAGTTTATGCTTTTTATTTTACCCATCACCTATTTTACCCTTCCCCCTACCCACCTCCCCTCTAGTAACCAACAGTTTGTTCTCTATAGTGAAGTGTCTTTTTCTTGGTTTGTCCCTCTCTTTTTCCCTTTTATCATTTGTCTTGTTTCTTAAATTCCATATATGAGTGAAATCATATGGATTTGTCTTTTCCTGACTTACTTACTTCACTTAGCATTATACTCTCTAGCTCCATTCATGTTGTTGCAAATGGCAAGATTTCATTCTGTTTTAAGGTTGAAGAATATTCCATTGTATATACACACCACCTCTTTTTTATATATTCATCTATTGATGAACACTTGGGCTGCTTCCACAGTGTGGCTATTGTAAATAACTGCAAAAAACACAGGCGTGCACGTATCCCTTTGAAAATATGTTTTTGTATTCTTTGGGTAAATACCCAGTAGTGGAATTATTCAATCACAACGTGATTCTATTTTTAATTTTTGGAGGAACCTGCATACTATTTACCAGAGTGGTTGCACCAGTTTGCATTTCCACCAACAGTGCAAGAGGGTTCCTTTTTTTCCACATCCTTCCAACACTTGTGTCTTATGCTTTTGATTTTAGCCCTTCTGATAGGTGTGAGGTGATATCTCCCTGTAGTTTTGATTTGCATTTCTCTGATGACAAGTGATGTTGAGCATCTTTTCATGTGTCTGTTGACCATCTGTATGTCTTTGGAGAAATGTCTGTTCGTGTCTTCTGCCCATAGGCAGGCAATGTTTTAATTTAAATTAAATTTGCAAACCAATGGCTTTTAAAAGCTAAAACTGTAGAAGTACTAGAAAAAGTTAACAATAACAAAAATGAAAGGTGTGAGAGAAGGATCCAAAATTAAAACTTGTGTAAATAGTGCATATAGAAAACTGTATTCACTCGACAGTTTTCTGAGATCCCATAATTTCCAGTAAACTTACATTTCTGGTACATTAAATCCTCATCTTCATGGAACTATTCTGTCACCAAAATAAATCTGAAATTTGCTATGACAAATATACCTAAAAATAATTCTTCCTTCTTTTTTGCCTGACTGTAAAAAGTAATATACAGATTTAGAAAGTGGCAAAGAAGAAAATAAAAATTACCAATAATTCTGCTATTCAGAGAGAAACCTTTTATGATAGTGGTAAATTTCTTCCTAGTCCTTTTGCCTGTATGTGTATACAGACATGTTAACATATGTGAGACTGTTCTGTTTACATAGCTCCATACCAGGTTTACTTTTACTTACTATATCATGAATATATCTTCCTCTGCAATTAAAAATTCTTTCTAAACCTTTAAATTCCCGTAATACAGCCCAAATGTGGACACCGTGTAATTTAATTAAACATTTCCTCACAAATGGATTTAGGATATTTACAAGGAATTTGTAATTCTGTAATGTTAACCTGTAATTCTGTAATAATAAGAAAGTGCTGATTTTCAAACTGAATTTTAAGCATAATTCCTTCACAATTCTTTACCTGGTTATTACAATTACCAATAATGAGTGCATCAGCCAGAGACAGCTGTCCCACAATCATGCCCTGTTCCAGCAATGGGGCTCCTGTTTCAGCAAGGCGATTAGATGTGATCACAATGGTATTATCATCATTCAATACCATTACAGGGTCCGCCTGAAGAAAAAAACAGTAAGTAGTTGATGGCTAAGGCAAAATGTCAATATGATAAACTATTCCTTCTTCTTGAAATATATGACACAATAAAAACATATACCACATATGCATTTATTTCTCCAAAATTATGACAAGCTTTCTTGTCAAAAACTGACCTCAATGAAAGCTGCTACTTCTTGAAGCACTAAGTTCCATTCCACTTGATCTTCAGTATTAAAGCGGTGAGTATAATCTTCAATTTCATCAGACAATTCCTGATTTGAAAATACCACAAAGAAAAACAGTTATGGGGGAAAAAACACATACAAACAGACTGCTATATTGTACCATATTCTTAAAAAAATTTTTTTTAAACATTTATTTATTATTGAGAAACAGAGAGAGACAGAGCATGAGCAGGAGAGGGGCAGAGAGAAGGGGAGACACAGAATCTAAAGCCATAGATTTATGGCTCCAGGCTCCGAGCTGTCAGCACAGAGTCCGATGTGGGGCTCGAACCCACAAGTTATGAGAACATGACCTGAGCTGAGGTTGGAGCCACCCAGGCGCTGCTATTGTACCATATTATTGACAGAAATTGATACAGTTAAGAAGCTTGATTATTATAAAAAAAAAAAGAAGCCTGATTATTATCAATAAACGGTCCCAAATGAAGAAAACTACTTTATTTTGTTTTAAAATAAAAGACTCCAGAAATGATACACATCAACAAGATCTTCATAGAGATCCAAAGTGATGCATATTTGCTCAATTCTACATCAGCAATTAACTTATTAAAGATAAAACCTCCAAGCTTTTACCACTTAATAACAAATGAAGACTCTCTTGATGATTTTCTTTGGATTTATCTCATACTGTGTTTTGGGAACAGTCTTATTAGTAACTAGAGGTTGAGGAAGACAGAGAAGGATTTGTCAAAACTAACATGTGAGGGGCGCCTGGGTGGCTCAGTCGGTTAAGCGTCCCACTTTGGCTCAGGTCATGATCTCATGGTTCGTGGGTTCGAGCCCCATGTTGGGCTCTGTGCTGACAGCTCAGCCTTTTTCAGATTCTGTGTCTCCCTCTCTATCTGACCCTCCCCTGCTCATGCTGTCTCTCTCTCAGAAATAAATTAAAAAACAAAACAAAACAAAACCCTAACGTGATACTTGAATACCAAAAGTTAAGTATGCCACTGAAATAGCTGGCTGACTGCAGAGGGCAGCTTCACCGGGTGCGCAGTAATGAGGGACGGTAAGAAAGCCCACCTCTTATTTACCTGAGGTAATGAAGGACAGTGATTCAGACATAGTAAAAGGAGGAAAAAACCCAAACTCATTCACAATACTTTTGTAAAGCATTATATGCTTACTCTTGACCCAACCTTTCAACTATTTACTCTTCAACCGATTATTTTAACTTTTGTTTGCATTTTGCAACTATCCATTGATGGGTGGTGAAATGTGAAACATGCTTAAGGGACAAAAACAAGGAATTAAGAGAACTGTCTCTGGCTAGTGCATATTTGAAATATGAAGAGAGCTGGAATATTCTTTTAGCATTACCCTTGTCTGAAGTTACCACACTTTTGAATGTTGTAATGATTTAGATAGACTAAAATTTATTTTTTACCTTAAATCTATTTTTAAAAAAGCAAAATTATCCATAGAGAATTATAGAGTAGGATTTTAATAATTTTACTTATTTATTTTTAAAATGATTATTTCCTTTTATTTTATTTTGAGTGAGAGAAACAGAGAGAAAGTGTGCGTGGGGGTGCGCATGCCCACACACATACACGTGGGGGAAGGGCAGAGAGAGACAGAGAATCCCAAGCAGGCTCCACATTGTCAGTGCAGAGCCTGATGTAGGGCTTGATCTCACAAACTGTGAGATCATGACCCGTGCTGAAATCAAGAGTTGGATGCTTAACCGATTGAGCCATCCAGACACCCCAGGATCTTAATAATTTTAAAGTACATTTACCTTCACCAAGTCCTTCACAACATCCATTTTGTTGAGAAGAAGACAAACTACGATAAATCTTGCATAGTATCGAAGTTTCTTAACGACCAACTCAGGTCTACGGCAGATAAATGGGAAATTACTCATTAGATTAAAAAAAGAAAACATGCTCTTTTATTTTTCCAAGTTTCTGACAGCTTTTAAACTCTTTTAGATCCTATTTTGCATAGTAACAAACATATCTGCAGATAACCTACAGCTGCTTTTAACAGATTTCTTACTCACAGATTCATTATAGTCATTCACAAATTCATTCATTGAACAGATGCCCACTGATAATTCAGTGCCCTGGTAAGTGCTAGAGAAATGATTAAGACAAACAACTAGAGACACAGCCCCCTCTCCATAGATCTCAGAGACAGGAAGCTACCTAAAACGTACCAGAGACATACAGACACTTAAAACACAGCAGAATAAGTACACTGACAGGAGAAAGGGTGCTATTTGAGCCCACAGAGAAAGCTTCCTAGAGAGAGTGATCTTTAAGGAAGACGATAAAGGGTAGAATACAACAGGCAGGAAATTATGAGGTGAAAAGAGAGACTATTCTTTGTCTTGAGATCTTATTTTCTGACACTAATATAATCAAACCAGTTTTCCTAGGTTTACTGTTTGTATGCCCTGTCTTTTTCTATACCTTTACTTTCAAGTTCCTGTGACTTTTCACTATGACCCATTTTTTTCTTAAGGTTTTTTATTTTTGAGATACAGAGAGAGACAGAGCATGAGTAGGGGAGGGACAGAGAGAGAGGGAGACACAGAATCCAAAGCCGGCTCCAGGCAGGCTCTGAGCTGTCAACACAGAGCCTAATGTGGGGATCTAACTCACAAACTGTGAGATCATGACTCTAGTTGAAACCAAGAGTCAAATGACTGAGCCACCCACGTGCCCTGACCCATTTTTTGCAGACAATGTATAGTTGGCTTTTTAATCCATTTTGACAATGTCTGTCTCATAGACTCAGATACTTGGACCGTTTACATTTTATCTTACTGTTGTTCTGTTGCTTTGGCTGGGTTTGCATCTCTTACAGTGACTTTTTTTTTTTTTTTTTTTTGAGTATTTTGTTTTGTTTTACAGAAAGAGCGCACAAGTGGCGGGGGAGAGAAAGGGGGGTGGGGAAGGGGCTTAAGCAGGCTCTGTGCTGACATGGAGGCTGAGAGCTAGATCTCATGACCCTGAGATCATGACCTGAGCCAAAATCAAAAGAGTCAGATGCTAACCTGACTGAGCCACCCTGTGCGGTTTTCTATTTGCCCTTTCTGCATTTGTGTTTTCTAGTGTTCTTTCCAGTAAATCCATTATATTTTAGTGTTTTATATCTTCTATCAGTTTCTTACTTATACTTCTTCCTTACTATCCTTAACTTATGGCTATTTACAATCATATTGTACCTCTTCACACCCAACCCTGTATATTCATCCCTAATGAGGGTTATCAAACCTGTTATTTCCAATTTCCACAGCCTACATTACAATTATAATAATCTTACAACAGTGTATTTTTTGTAGATGTTTGACATTTTCCACAATAAAATTTTTAAAAATTCCTCTTCAATCCAGGAGTTATTTAGAAATGTGTCACTAATTGGTAAGATTTATTGATTTTTTTGAAAACTATGTTGCATTTCTTAATTTTTAATGGCACTGCACCATGGTTAGACATCATACACTTGAAAATAATTGAAACCTGTTTTGTGTCCGGTATAAGTAAATTTCACAAAAGTTCCATATAAGCTTGAAAATTATGTGCATTTGCTTATTGATGTAGGTTGTTTTAAGCACAATAGAACACGTTTTTAATTATGTTACATAAATCTCATTACTTGTCTTCTGATTCATAAATAAATACGGTATGTTAAAAATCTCCTTGTATATTGGACCATTTATCAATATCTCCCATAAAATATGCCAATTTTTGTTATTTATTATAATATTACATTACTGGGGATATAAAAGTTTAGAATTTTTTTTTTGAGTTGTTCCTTTTATCATTATGAAATAAAGCTCTATCCTTAATAATGCTCTATGCCTTAAATACAGTGGCAGACATTTCAGGGTGTCTGGGTAGCTCAGATAGTTGAGCACCCATCTCCTAACTTCAACTCAAGTCATAATCTCATGGATTCCTTGTGGGTTCAGGCCCCATGTGAGGCTCTGCACTGATCATGTGGAGGCTGCATGGAAATCTCTCTCTCTTCCTCTCTCTCTCTGATCTTCCCCTGTTCACTCTCTCTCTCAAAATAATAAATAAATATATAGAGAGTGGCATTTCTTCCTCTTGGTATCTATTTTAGCTTTTTCTGTGTTGGAAAATCTTTTGTAAACACTAGATTACTTGATTTTCTTTTAAAAGGCATACTGATGGGGCGCCTGGGTGGCTCACGCTCACGCTCTCTCTCTCCTAGAAATAAAACATTAAAAAAAATTTTTTTTTAAAAAATTTAAAAAATAAAAAAATAAAACGCATACTGATAATCTCTGGCTTCTACCTAGGAAGTTTAGATCACTTTCACTTACTATGAGTACCAGTGTACTTGGATTTATTTCTATTTTGGCTGGGTTTTTTTTGTGCTAATTATACTTTTTTTAGTACACATTCCATTCCTAACTTTTATTGCAATGACTGTAATTTTATTATTCACTTTCCTCCCCCTTCTACCTGTTTTGAAGTTACACATTCTCCTTATGTTCTTTAAAAATATTTTTCTGGGGAGCCTGGGTGGCTCAGTTGGTTAAGCATCCGACTTTGGCTCAGGTCATGATCTCACAGTTTGTGGGTTCAAGCCCTGCGTCGGGCTCTGTGCTGACAGCCAGCTCAGAGTCTGGAGACTATTTCAGATTCTGTGTCTCCCTCTCTCTACCCTCCCCTGCTTATACTGTCTCTCTCTCTCTCTCTCTCTCTCATGAATAAAGAAAACATTTAAAAAAATAAAAAATTTAAAAAATATATTTTTCTTATTGTTTTAAAAAGCAAACTTTACTTATTCTAAGCTTCTTCTGAACAATAAATGGATCTTATTGGTATGATTTAACTTCTGACTTTCTTCTTTCATGTTATTATTATCCAGAATTTGGCCTCATTTTACCTTGATAACCTCAATTAGCCATCATTACAATTACTGTCCTATGAAGTCTGTGATTTTTTAGGACAGTTTCAATTTTCCTCTTCCTAAAGAAATCCTTAGTAGTTCTTTTATGTCACCAAAACCAACCACTCTCTTGCAAGGTTGTCCCAGCACTGGTCACAGGATTAATAACCTCAGGATCCCCTTACTTTCTTGACAGCTAAACTGTCCATTTAAAAGGACGGGTGATCTGTTCAGTCAGCATCTAGGTGTTTTGAGAATAGTAGTTTAGATTATCTAGACTGCCACACTGTCAGAAGTGGAATTCAAAACAGGAGGAAAATTTGTAGGATGATGTCAATTCATAGTTGAAATATTAATAAGAGAATTCCTTTCATGTTTTTGGTAAAATAAAATAGGTTCTATGAATCTATATCACAGGTTATACAACTATGTAATATACATTACACAAACATACTGAACCAGGGATGGCAAAATTTTGTAAATGGCCAGACAGTAAATGTTTTTGGCTTTACAGGCACATAGGGCATCTGTAGCACATTTTTGCTTTTTTCAAAACACTTTGAAAATATAAAAAGGATTCCAAGCTACCAGACAGTTCAAAAACAGGCCACGGTGTGCCAATCCCTGTATTAAAGAAACATACAGACATAGGTGGATGTATTCTATTTTGGAAACCACTATGTTGAACTGCAGCAAAGCACAGAGAACTAAGTCAGTGCTGTCCAGACATACACACGAGAGGCTGTCCCAGACAGGCCCACAGCCCACCGCCTGACAACATATGAAGCTGCAGAAGAAAACATCCAATGAACCACACTGGAAAGGTCCACATCACATCCTCCCTATAGACAACACTACTAGGAAGCGCCAAGGTTTCAAGTTTAGAGTCACATTTCCCACAACATGAAACTTCCAATACTGTCACCACTGAAGTTGACGTCACGATTCTTTTGACAAAGTTACTGTGGCACTCCAGAATTGTAGCTTTGTCCAGCCTGCCATGCCCATTAGTTCTAAAACACTGACTCTTTATAAATTTGCCTGAGAAACTATTTTCCGAGGTGGCTGACTACAAGCTGTCCCCAAGCTTCTGGGTACTCAGAAACTTCACCGTCCCCACATCTAACTCTGACCGGGTTCAGCCTTAGCCATTTGCAAGTTAGGGTTTGCTGCTCCTAGGACAAGTGATTGTGTGACAACGTCTCCTCTACTAAATAGGATGGGCCCTCTGAACGAGCATCTGTTTATGCTTAGTGACAGGTAGTCACTTTGGTGGTTGCTGAAATGTGCCATGCCTTCTGGCTTTGACACAGTCTGTAGGTACGAAGACAGTACAGAGAGAACTTGCCCTTTGAGGAGAGATTTTTGCTTTTAAAGCTAATGTGAAATTGTGCAATACTTTATTTAGTTTTAATCAGCCAACCAGCTATTGATTTTAGCAGCCGTCACCAACTGCTACCTTGACTGTCCCCCTGCTCTGTATGAACGAAGAAACAAACAACCTACCAGCTGAATACAGTCCTTACTAAGAAGGTACTGACTAAGGGCGCAAGGGCAAGATTTTGCACACAGGATCGTCCTTTGATTCTAATTTAGTGGCCTAAGGCAAGAGATTTTGTCATCCTGGTTCCAAAGAATCCTACCTCTGTTCATCAGCCTTGCTCTAGGAGGCAGCACAGGAAAACCATTCATATGTGGCATTTGCTATTAGGACAGAAAATGATGTTCATAAATGAAACTGCTGGATTTGAAGCCAAGGGGCCCAAGGCCAATTTCCCTTTGAGTGAATTAGGAAATGCAGAAAAGTGAATTGTACAAGGTATTTCACTGTGGCTTAAAATAGTTCTTTCCTTATATGTGCTTTTCATACTGAGAAGATACCATACAGCTGTTTTGTATATTTTTAGAAGTAAAACTTATCTCACCAAAAAGTCAGACAAACTATACAGCATGAATAGAAAAAAAAGTGAGGTGGGAGTCTGACAAAATATAACCAAGTGAAAATACGTGAAGGAAACCATAAGAAAACCTGAAGCACTTCGGGCGGAAATGGAGAACCTTGCGTGCCTTGCTTGCATTAAGCAAACTCCTCAAGCCTGAACAAGATCTGCTAGGGAATGAAGGGGATTCACAAGAGTGGGGCTTTCCAAACCATGTTGCTTAGATGGAAAGCTTATGATAGCCAAACACAAAAGTGTTCTCTAGAAAAATATGTCAAAATTATGTTCTCATCTACTGCTAAGAGAATATAATCTTTTCACATATAACAACTGTGAGTTCTGTTGCTGGCAGTAGGGAGGATATTCAGATCTTCTGTGCCCGAACTTTCTCTTCTAACAATTCATGGAATACAAGTAACAAAGATTCTCCAGGAAAACCCTGACTTCTTCAGCAATTCCGTCTTCATCTGGAATTAACATCACAGTCTACCTGTGCCCCAAATATGTCTGTAACTCTCATGAGAAGATACTCCTCTGAAAGGGAAAGAGAACACTTGTACACCTTCTTTTCTTTCTTCTCCCTCCCAAGCATCTAGCACACTGCCAGATATGTAAGTGCTCAATAGATTATTACGGGGAATGAATGATTTCTATGTGATTTTTTTTTCCTTAGGGGGGAGCTATGCAACTGTTAACCTATCAGGTTTATAAAATACGATGTAAACTGCAATGGCAGCCTTTTCTTTAGTACCACGGACAGCTGTCAAGAGGCTTCTGAATGCATATGAATTCAAACTACACAGGCTAAAAAGAACAAAGGTTATCAGCAAAGCCTCACTCTGGAGTTGTTTCTTTTCTATGAAAATTTGTGTGACCTTAATCTTTCATATAGAAACAACCAACCCCTTCTTTGTGCTCTGACTCCACTCAGGTACTGTGATGTCTGCTAAAACATATATAACATTTATTGCTTTTAGGTAACATACCTCTGTATGCTAAAGAAGGCCTAGATACATTGTAAGGCACTCAATAAAGCCCATTTAAATGAATAAAAGTTAGAAACAAATGTGTGCTTCTCTGCATAATTTCCACACAGACTAAAAATTCTGAGTGTTTTATCTCTTTCTAAAAACATAGTAGGTGCATACCTGTCCTCTTTATTGACTTGAGAATAATATGATCTCTGTCTGATTGCAGAATAGAAGGAGAAAGCCTCATTCAGATAGCTGGTCTCAGATGTGCGTAGGCTATGGAGAAAAAAAATCTTTATATTTGACAGTGTCTCAAACTGTTTATGCTGAATACTTGTTTCATTCCCCTGCTATTCCTCTATATGAGGGGAGGGGAACGAACCTAAATTTGAACTGGCAAAGCAATGATCACATCACCCTTACAATTTATAAAAATAATGATAATTAAAAAAAAAACAAACAAACCTCCCCACTGCTCCCAAACCTTTTTTGATAGCAATCCAAAGTACATATTACTTTCATTCTTTGAAAGGATTCTCCAAATAGCATTCCACCCAGTTACATCTTTTCACCAGACCTTTCGTAACCTTCCCCAAATCCATACACAGTCACTCATCCTTTGGTTCATTTCTTCAGTTTTTTTTTCCTCACAGGACTCAGAAATGGACTAATTCGTATTAACCTTCAGAGGGTGATGTATTAGGTTCTCTAACATCTTTAGTTTTACTTCTTAAGAAAATATTCTACCCCAGTGATTTTAACAGGGGAATGATGGATGGCATGCCAAAAGACAGGAAGAGGAAGAAATTCCATATGGTCCAAGCTTTTAAGTGTATAACTGATATTACTTTATGAGATTTAGATTCCTAAAAGGAGTTCTCTTCTTTCCTTGACTCATCACTAAGGATATAATCAAAATTATCTTTGTCTTCTTCACAGAACCTTTTAGATATATCTTACAAGTATGAGTTTTAAAGTATTCCCCCCAAAACCATTCATTCAAACATACAAGTTATGTATTAAGACTTAAGTGAAGCCATTAAGAACTATGAATTTATTTAGTATTTCTGATTTATCTAAAACCAAGATCATAATCATTTAAGTTATAAATGAGTCTGCCCAAATAAACTGTTTGGAAGGTAAGCCTTTGAAGCACATAATGTACTCAGATTATGGAAGATCATTTACTTCATAATACTGTTTTGATTACTATGATACGGGGTTTCATTTGTAACTCCATAGTTTTCTCTCCTACCAAGTAAGTATACTTCTGCATGCTGTGTTTAAACCAGGATAATGCTTTAATTTTTCCATATGCAATTCACTTACTAATAATGGTAGTATAGCTGCCCAATCTTAGAAGCAATTTCCCCTATTTGCCACCGCTTCAAGCCATACCGATTATCCAAGACTTGTCTGTTTTACATAGGAGATAAGAAAATAGAAATAAGAGACTATAAATTCCAAAAATAACCAAATCTATAAATTTAATAGGATAAAAAACCACCCAATTCAGCATGAAATTCCAAATTCATGAATTCAAATACATGAATTCTTCATGAGATTTCAACATCATCATTCAATTAACTTTAAAAAGCAGTATTAAATGTCTACTTAAAGTAAGCTGAAATATGAAAAGAAATTTCATGAAATTTCATGAAATTTCATGAGCTAAGCTCATGAAAATTAAAAGCAACACCCCCCAAATAGCTTTGACCAATAAACAACATCTACGGTAGAACGAAACCATGAATCAGCCTACCTACGTCAGAGTTAATCTGAACCATTTCAGATATGATACTGTCTTTAAAAATCAGATGAGAACATTACATTTTAAAACCCTAAGTAAAAAGGAAAAAATCAATTTATTTTCATTTGTGTCATGAAGAGAAAATATATTAAAATGCACCAAGAGATAAAAAGGTCAAAAGTGGGACTAATATAAAATGGACCTTCACTCTCCTGTAACTATAAAATTCCTTTACCGATGCTGCTGCTGGAACTTCCAGAGTTTGGTGTAAACATCGAAAGTTCTTCCAAAATAGGACTGCCACTGCTTCTGCCCATATTGGGGCAAATCTCTGTAATTACAAACAAACATACGTTAATTCATTCTCCTTACACTATTTGGAAATTAGGTCTTGTGATGGTACAAACTGGATAGATTTGAAGCATTTGCATTCAGGCTTTCTTTTATTTATTTATTAAGTTTATTTATTTATTTTTGAGACAGAGACAGAGACAGAGCACAAGCAGGGGAGGGGCAGAGAGAGGGAGACACAGAATCCGAAGCAGGCTTCAGTCTCTGAGCTCTGAGCTATCAGCACGAGCCCGACGTGGAGCTCGAACCCACGAACCATGAGATCATGACCTGAGCTGAAGTTGGACACTCAACCTACTGAGCTACCCCAGTCTTTTAGAAACAATTAACAGTTTTGGGAGCAGAAGTGGTTCTATTAACAAGAGTCCAGGGCATATTCTTTCCTATTCTTCTCTCCTACTTTTGTTCATTCTTAGTCTCCTTTGTAGACTAAGGTTTCCCTTAGTCCCATAAGATTTCTACCACTCTCTTCCCTCTCCCTGGCTGCTCTTATTCACAGTCACTTATGTACTGATAACTTCCAAATGCTTATTATCTTCATGGAAGAACTCAGCACTCTGAAAAGCACGCTACTATCTAGAAGCGGATATGCAGGTGGGATGGTTGTTCTCAATTATTCTAGCCTCTCCCTACAGGTGGCACTATACATCCCTGTTCTTGGAGCTGGTGACTCCCTATATACCCCTTAGAGACAAGCTCTTCCCTGTCATAAGGAACATGGGCCTGGCCTTAACACTTGCTTTGGCTAATGAAATATAATGGCAAATTACCCACACCATGTCTGAAAAAATGACATAAGAGATACTACATAGTTCAGCATTTTCACTTCCCTCCAACCTAAGACCAAGACAAGGTTGCTCCTCAGCCTGGAACACAGAGTAAGACACACTTAAATGGAGCCTCGGAACTGCAGACAACTTATAGCTAACATGGGAGCTAGAATAAGTCTCTACTGTACTAACGCACTAAAATGTTGAAGTTGTTATTGCAGCCATATTGAGGAAAAGCCAGTACAGAAATGGATACCAGGAATGGGCTATTGCCATAACAAATACATAACATATGTAACGCTGGCATTGGAATTTAGCGGCACCAAACTGTTACTGAAGGCTGGAAAAATGATGACACATATAATACAGTGGCAAAACAGCATCTGCCTGCAATCACTTGGAAAGGAGATAAGGTGACTAACAAACTTACGGATTTATACAAAGAAACCGGAAAAAGTCTCTTACTAGCCCTGGATGCTATTAGCTGCACTTAACAAAACACAAGAAAGATGAATTCAGAAAAGAACTAGCTGCAAGCAGGGATGAAGAGGAAAAGAGATAACTCATGAGTTCCAGAACTTTCAGAATTGTAAGATACAATACTTTCTAATGCATATATATAAAAGATACAATTGAGAAACGCCAGCTATTAATGCCACTTATAACTGAGTCTCATCCTCAGGGCCAAACCTTTTCACTAGAGCCCAAGAGTAAAGTTATGAGGAGCACCTGGGTGGCTCAGTGGATTAAGCCTCCAACTTCGACTCAGGTCATGATCTTACAGTGTGTGGGTTCGAGCCCCGCGTCAGGTTCTATGCTGACAGCTCAGAGCCTGGAGCCTGCTTCAAATTTTATGTCCCCCTCTCTCTCTGCCCTTCACCCACTCACACTCTGTCTCTCAAAACTGATTAATATTTAGAAATTTTTTTAATTAAAAAATTTTAAAAAATAAATCATTTGACTTGGCCAATATGACAACTAGAATTGCAGTCATCAATTTTCCTTTATTCTTGGGACTCAGCTCTATTCTATTGGTTTTTCTATTTCCTCACTAACATTCTGTTAATTATTACAGCTTTATAAAAAGTGTTTCATCTTTCTTCTTTTAAAGGAACACCATGGCTGTTCTTCATTCCTTTTACTTGCCTATGACCTTTAACATTACCTTATCAAAGTTCTACCAAAAAAAGAAATCCTAACAGGTTCTAATGAGACCTCAATGAATCTAGACATCTATTTGGAGAACTGACATCTTAAAAATAATTTTCAGGCACCTGGGTGGCTCAGCTGGTTAATTACGACTCTTGATTTCCACTCAGGTCATGATTTCACATGCAGAGCCTGCTTGGGATTCTCTCTCTCTTTCCCTCTCACTCTGCGCCTCCCTCACTCACACTGGCACTCTCTTTCAAAATAAATAAATAAATAAGCATTTTAAAAACATTAGCACAATTAAAGTAATTTTTAGTGTCAGTAGTATCTCTTTCCATTTATGTTGGAAATAGCCACTAAATTTTGCAATGCTTTGCACAAAGTTCTAATATTTCTTAGTTCATATCACTACAATGTCTCATATTGATTTGTGAAAGGTATCTCTATTTTTTAAGTTATGTCTTTAATTCTTTTTATGGTGGAAAGTTTCAGATATACACAAAAATAGAGAATAATACAATGAATCCCAATGTACCATCCCAAGCTTCACAGATAATAAATTTAGGGCTGATCCCTTCTACCTGGGGTTGCCAGATAAAATGTTTGGGGGCTCTCCACTCCTTTTACCTGTCTGGGATAATATAACTTTGTTTAAATCAATATCCCTCTGATCACCACTAGCACTAGTTTATTAAGAGAAGAAGTGCAGGCTATATTTCAGAATGATCCCTATGACCCAAATGTTTATAAAGTACTTAAAACAGAGAAACACTTAAATGTTCCATAGTAAAAGGAGAGATTAAATATAAATTCTCTCATTTAACCTAAGTTCAACTTCCAAGTATAAAAGAAATCCTTTTTTAAAAATATTTATTATTTTTTTAAGAGAGAGCAAGCAAGTGAGCAAGGGAGGGGCAGAGAGAGAGAGAGAATCCCAAGCAGGCTCCCTGCTGTGAGCACAGAGCCCAACACAAGGCTCAGTCTCACAAACTGTGAGCTCATCCTGGGCTTTAATCAAGAACGAAACACTCAACTGATTGAGCCACCCAGGTGCCCCAGAAACTTTTCTTTTAATGTTTTATTTATTTCCAAGACAGAAAGGGAGAAAGAGAAAGGCAGCATGAGCAGGGGAGGGTCAGAAAGAGAGGGAGACACAGAATCCAAAGCAGGCTCCAGGCTGTCAGCACAGAGCTGTGAGATCATGACCGGAGCCAAAGTCGGACACTTAACCCACTGAGCCACCCAGGCGCCCCCAGAAACTCTTTATTTATCTCACATAACTAAGTGAGCTGAATGTTCTTGGTAAATTATACTAATACATAGAAATTTGAGGTAGTATTTTGTTGTTCTGTTGTTTGGGAATGGGGAGGGAGAGGGAGAGGTATATGCTTCCAGAGTTCATATATACACAGTATTTGTGTATACAGGCACAGTATTTACCTTGTTTTGTAATGTAAACTTTTTTCACTTAAAATATTATTAACATCTTTTCATGTTTAAAATAAACATAATTAGCACCGGTGTATAGCACATATACATATTTGAAATTAGAAGATACTCTCTCCCGGGGCGCCTGGGTGGCTTAGTCGGTTAAGCGTCCGACTTTCGCTTAGGTCATGATCTCGCGGTTCGTGGGTTCGGGCCCCGCGTCGGGCTCTGTGCTGACTTCCTCTCTCTCTGACCCTCCCCTGCTCACGCTGTCTCTCTCTCTCTCTCCGAGAAATAAATAAAAACCTTAAAAAAAAAAAAAATTAAAAAAAAAAAAAAAAGAAGATACTCTCTCCCCACACCCTCACACACAAAGCTGCTATATATATTTTTTAATTTACTTAACAAAGGATACATTGCTTCATGGAAATAAGACAGCTGAAATAATACAGAGCTGAAACAGATATAACTTATGTTTGTAGAGCATTTCTCTTTTTTTGTTTTTTTATTTATTTCTTTTGAGAGAGAGAGAGAGAGAGAGAGAGAGAGTGAAAGAGCAGCAGAGAAGGGAGAGGTGGGGGGAGAGAGAATTGCAAGCAAGCTCTGTGCTGTCAGCGCAGAGCCTGACAAGGGGCTCAAACCCACAAACCGTGAGATCCTGACCTGAGCTGAAACCAAGAGTTGGATGCTTAACCAGCAGAGCCACCCAGGTGCCCCTGTAGGACAGTTCTCCTGCCCCAGGTGGGTGTCTTGCTGTTGGTGACACTTACCCTGCAATTAGGTAAGGTGTAGTTACTACATATAATTCTATCAAGTGCTAAGTACTGTGAAGGCCAGAGAATGTGATGTGAAATATGATTTCTACAATCAAAGAGTTTATTATTTAAATAGAAATAACACACATACAGAAAAAGATAAAAAAATAGCACCTAAGTATTAAATTAGATGGTACTGAATAAAAGTAATAGAAGACTGTAGAAAAGAAATATATGGGAGAGCTTGAGGAGCCAAGGAAAGCTGCTTAAAGAGAGAGATCTGGATAAGCAAGAGGAAGAAGAGATCACCAAAGAGAGAGAGAGAGAGAGAGAACCAAGATAATATGTAGAGGAACAGAGGCAATTATCAGCTAATAAAACTGTAGCACAAGTCTTAGCCAGACCTCACTCATGCAACTATGGACAGCTAGTGGTGGATGGTGTCCCTCAGACATCTTGCCATTGCCTGGCTGGCAGCTAGGGTGCTGGGTCATGTTTTTCTCATCCAACATGCTAGCTCAGTCTCCATGAGGTTGGTTGCAAGGATCCCAAAAGCAGCAAAAGAGAGGGCCGCTCTAATGTGCACCGTTCTTTTCGATTCTTTGCATCATGTTTGCACCACCCCATTGGCTAAAGCAATCGTCATGGCCAAGCCCATAGTCAGTGTGGGAGGGGATGACTCATGGGCATGGATACAAGGAAGGGAATGATTTTTATAAGCAATCTACCACAGAAATCTTAAGATTTTTTTCTTTCTTTTTCAATTCTGAAAGTAAATAGAAGTCTCTCGAAAAACAAAAATGCTATATACAATGTACAGAACAAGAAGTAAAAAAATACCCTATTGCTTTTCTCCTCAATTCTAGCCCCCAGAA